CCCTAAACCCTAAACCCTCAACGTTCGCTCCGGGGGCGACGCCGGCTGTGGGCGCCGGGGCCGCCGCACTCCGAGCTCCCATCTCCAGGGTCTGCCGGGCCTAGAGGGTTTTTAGGCTTTTAGGGTTAGGTTTAGGGTTTAGGGTTTAGGGTTTAGGGTTTAGGGTTTAGGGTTTAGGGTTTTTAGGCTTTTAGGGTTAGGTTTAGGGGTTTCAGGGGCGCTGTTTATAGGGGTTTAGGGTTTTGGGTTTAGGGTTGAGGATTTAAGGGTTTAGGGTCTTAGGGTCTTAGGGTCTTAGGGGTTTAGGGTTTAGGGTTTAGGGTTTAAGGTTAGGGTGTCTTTTATAGGGCCAAGTTTAGGGTTCAAGGGTTTAAGGTTTAGGGCTTCTAGGGCCAAGTTGAGGGTTTAGGGGTTAGGGCCAAGTTGAGGGCTTGGGGTTTCGGGCCAAGTTTGGGGCTTAGGGTTTCTTAGCGTTTAGGGTCAAGGGGTTTAGGGTTTGGGGTTTGGTCAAGGGTTTAGGGTTTGGGCTTTACTGTTTCTTAGGGGCTATAAGTTTGGGGTTTTGGACTTCCCATCTGCTTCTCTTGTTGGGCTACCTTGTACTGTGTCACTCTAACATCCCAGGCAGTCATAGCCGCCAAACCAATCTTGAGGAGATACTCTTACTACTAATCCGACCAGTTCTCCAAAGGGACCTTTCAGTAATGAATACTAAGGGTGCCGTACTAGATTTCGGACTTAAACAGGGACCCTGATTTAGAGAACTACCCATATGAGGGAGCCCCATCCCCCCCGAGCCTTTTCGGCGGCGCGATCCGATTCAACCACTTGCCGCCTGCCGCTGCCTGGCTCCAAAGCTTTTGTGGGGGGTTTGGTGCTTAGGGCTTAGGGTTTTGGGGTCAAGGGCTTAGGCGCTAGGGCATGGGGTTTAGAGTAGTCCATAATCGTAACGTAGGCTGTGGGGTTCAGCTTGTCAGCTTAGGATGGTGGCTTTTGGAGAGTACTGGAGCGAAAATGGAAGATGCGGGATTGGCGCTTCACCCCCAAGCAGGGTTCGCAGAAACTAGGTCCGTGTCAAAGTTTAGCAGGAGTGATGTGCTCTTTTGGGAACCCGACAAAGGGCCCCCCCCCCCAATCTGCGGAATTAACCGAAAAGGAGGAACTACACCAGCGCTTTTGCACGAGTGATCGCCGACTGCGCAATGAGCTTACCCTCGCTTACGCAAATAGTTGTTCATTGTCTGATTGTGCAAACTATGGCAAACTTTCGCCGGGATGTGGAGACCGTCAAAAACCACATGCCCAACAGGTTAGTAGAATTGCGGGTCCCTAAACCCTAAAACCTATAAACCCTAAACCCTATAAGCTACCTACTATAGAGGGTACTAGAGGTTACAGGGCCCTATATAGTAGGTACCTGGAGGGTTGGGGTGAACCAAGCTCTTCTTCAAGGCTCCTAAGTAGTGGTAGTGCCGACTGATGCAAAGCATCTGCAGACTCGCCTTGGTGCTCGGTGGTTTCGGAAAAAGGTTAGGGTGAACCCTACAACATGGACCCGCCTTCATCCTCCTCCGTCTTTGCCTTCTGCTGCGGTGGGGAGCCTCCCATGAGCTCCATCAGCTTTCAGTTTAGGGTTTAGGGTTAGGGTTTAGGGTTTTGAGTTTAGGGTTTAGGGTTTTGAATTCAGGGTTTAGGGCTTAGGGCTGAGGTTTAGGGCTTGGGGTCTATAGGTCCTTGGGGTTTATAGGGTTTAACGACTTAAGGCTTATAGGGTGTATAGGGCTTATATAAGGCTGATAGGGTTTGGGGTTTGCGGCTAGCCAGGCCCTGGGGCTTTAGGAGTTGTAGGCTAGGTTTCAGAGGAACCTGCTAGGGTCTATAAGGGTTCCTTTAAGGGATCGTATAAGGGATCAATATACCTATATTCTCCATTCTGGTTCATGTTGTTCGTTGAACCGATTTTGTATTAAGGATCCTAGAAGGAAATCCCCTAACCCCCAAGCCCTAAACCCCCCAAAAAGGAGCTACAATGGAGACTATAGGGTAGGGCTTTAGGAGTTTCGGGATCATAAGAATGCAGCGTCTTGGACACCGTTCCAACACACCAGCCCTAGAGGGAAGAGGGTTTAGGGGTTTAGGGTTT